GGCGAGACTGGGGGGGCACGCTCAGACACGGACTGGGGGGCGGGGCTGGGCGGTGAGGGTGGCCGGAGGTGAACTGAGAGCCTGGGGGTGAAGTCGGAGCTGGGAAGGACCCAGAGGCGGAGAGAGTTTGAGATGAGTCACAGAAAGAGCCAGAAGAGCCAGAGGCTGTTGGGGAGAGACACAGGACTAAACGGGAGGAAAAGGAAAGGAAGGGGGGGCTGGGGGGCTGGGGGGCTGGGAGACAAGGAGGAGGGAGAATGAATGGAGTAGAGACACCCGCCAGCTTCCCCACCCGGCCTGTCTCCCTCCAGAACTACAGAAGGTGGAGAACCAGGCGCTACCTGTACTACTGCCAAGCTGCCTTTGTGACCGCCCTCAAGAGGAGGATGGCCAAGGAGAAGGGCATGATAAGCCCTAGTGATTTTGCCCAGCTGCAAAAATACATGGAATGTGAGTCTTCCTCTCAACCCTAACATTTTAAAAAGATGTATTTATGTATGCACACAGAACTGGGGTGCAGCCAGCGTGCAGGGGTGAGAGGCTTCCCCAGAGACAGTGGGGAGCAGAGCAGGCCGACGGATGAAGTCCACTGCTGAGGGGAGCAGCCGGGGGTCAGGAGAGGGCTGCCGGCCCTGTGGGTCACCTCCCAGCAGGGATCGAACTCATGGGGGAGCGGCTTTAGCTTCGTGGTGCTGTGCTTTAACCCGCCGCGCCACCAGGGAGGGTCTCCCTTCCAGTTTTTTAAAAAAATTATTTGTGAACACAAGGACTGGGCTGTAGGCCAGAGGTGGGGGTGTGTGTGTGAGAGGACTCACCTGAGACAGAGTGGGGAGCAGAACAGGCAGATGGACTGAAGCCCACTGCGGAGGGGAGCAGCTGGGAGACAGGAGAGGGCTGCTGCGCCCTGGGGTCCCTCCCTGGGGTCCCTCCCTGGGGTCCCTCCCTGGTGGGGCATTGAACTCGTGCTGCAGCAGCTGCAGACAGCTCCCTAGTGCTGGGCTTTGACCAGTTGCACCACCAGGGAGGGCCCGGCAAACCTTCAGTTTTTGAGAATTCATCCCCCAGAATCCCTCCTCCACATTCCTCCCCTCGGCCCTCCCCCTCCCTGGCTCCGCTAGAGCCTCAATCTTGTCTGCCTTATCTCAAAAAGGGAGGAGAAGAGAGGGGAGATGGGGTCTCTGCTCTGCCCACGTTCTCTGAACCTTGACTGAGCAAGGCTGGACACCACTCTGGAGGATCTGAGGCGCTTTTCTCTGTATTTCTTCTTGGAACTTCTTTTCTTTTTCACTTGAATCTTCTCTCCTATTGGGTGTCTGAATGGGGTTGTGGCCGTGGGTTGGGGGAATAGAACCAGACTACTAATGCTCTTTCACTGTCTTCACTAGATTCTACCCAAAAGGTCAGTAATGTCCTGAAGCTCTTTGAGGATGGCGAAATGGCTGAATATCTCCAAGGAGATGTGAGTGGCAGCTGGGAAACCCTCTCCTTGGCTAACTCCTCCCATTGATTTTGCTACATGGTGGAGATCCCCAACTCAGACATTATTCTTCTGGCTGTGCCCCTGCTGTGTTCCCCCTAGAATCCTCAGCACCCCAGCTCTTCCCTTAGGACAAAGCAAGAAATGCTGTTAACTCAGGGCCACCCCGGCTTTGGGTGCTCTGGGCACACCCCCTCCGTCGTCACTCCCCCAGCCTTTCGTCCCCGCCCCCCAGAGTCCTGCTTCCTCTCATTTAGGCCATTGGGTACCAGGGATTCCAGCAGTTCCTGAAAATCTATCTGGAAACGGATAATGTCCCTGCTCACCTAAGCCTGGCACTGTTTCAGTCCTTCCAGACAGGTCAAAACTCAGAAGAGACTTTGGAGGAAGGTACGGCCAAGCCGGTGAGGTGGAGGGCGGCTGGGAGAAGAGTCCAGTGTTTGGGGATGAGCTTAACTGAGTCACATGTTAGGGTGTTGGGAAAGATGGAGGGGGGGTTCTTGGGCTGGTCTCAGAGCTGGAGGGAGGAAAGTGAAAGGGAAGAGTTGGACCAAACAAAGTAAAAGATGAGGGCCTGAGGCGAGGGCCCGGCTCAGACCTGCTGCCTTCCCGCCCTAACCAGATGTGGTGTGTCTCAGTGATGTCTCCTGCTACTTTTCCCTTCTGGAGGGGGGCCGGCCAGAAGACAAGCTAGAATGTGAGTTGCCTCTGGGTCGGGACGGGCAGGGAAAGTGAGAGAGGGGCATTCGCAGGCTTCCTTCTCTCACTTTTTCAGGATCCCCAAAGGCTTCCAGGGCCATAAAAATGAGGGGTGGGGAAGAGTGGGCCCATTTTCTCCTTTCCTCCAGACTTCTTTTTTAAAAAATATTTATTTATTTATGCACACAAGAACTGGGGTGCAGGGGATGAGAGGACTCCCCAGAGACAGAGTGGGGAGCAGAACAGACAGATCTACTGAAAAGCACTGCTGAGGGGAGCAGCAGGGAGACAAGACGGGTCTGCTGCACCCTGCGGGTCCCTCCCTGGCCGGGGATCAAACTCTGCTGCAGCAGCAGCAGCTGTAGTGGCTGCTGGGAGCTTTGCAGTGCTGCGCTTTAACCCAAGGCGCCACCAGGGAGGGCCCTCCTCCAGACTTCTTATGCACGGAAGTCCCCCCCCAGTACCTGCATCTTGTCTCCTGTGGGTGGCCCATGAACACATATTCTTGGGAGGGGACCTGCGTACACCCCTACCAGCACCCCGAGGGTGGAAGCCAGACTCTGTTCCCTTCCCTCTTATTTCCTTTCTCAGTCCCAGCCCCAGCTCTGGGCTCTTCCTCCGAAAGGCTCTCCCTAGCTCTTTGTTTCTATGCACTGTGTTAGGAATTGTTTGAGTCTCTCTCACAAACTGACTCTGGCCTTCCTAAAACACTCCACAGTCACCTTCAAGCTGTACGACACGGACAGGAACGGAATCCTGGACAGCACGGTGAGTTGTGGGACCTGCAGGCTGCGCATGGAGGTCGGGTCGAAGGGGGTATGTCTGTGCCCCCCCCCCAACTCTCAAGATCTTAAGAAGCAGAGGGAGAAGTGGAGGCCTCTAGGTTTGGGATAGGTGCAAGTTCTTGACCCCTAAAAGAGGAGGCTGGAGACGTGATCGGGGCTGCCTTGCAAACATACGAGCACACACAGACAGTCTCTTACTCGAGGAGACACCTGAGAATGAGAGGTGGGTTTGAGGGCGGAGCCAGGAACCCTGAGTTCTAGGGAGGAGTGTAGAGGGCGGTAGGGAGCCAGCGACGTGGCCGTGGCTCTTGGCTCTTACCCTGGTCGCCTCTAGGAAGTAGAGAAAATCATCGTACAGATGATGCGAGTGGCTGAATACCTGGACTGGGACGTGTCTGAGCTGAGGCCGGTAAGGCAGTGCTTCGTCCGTGTCCGTCTCACACCTTCCCCTTGGGGTCCTGTGTCTACCTGGCCCCACCGCTGAGGGGCGGCCTGGGTCCCATGGACCAGCACACCTGGGGCAGTGGAGAGGGGGCGGATGCACGAGAAGCTCCTGCCCCCTTCTCTGCCCAGATTCTTCAGGAGATGATGAAGGAAATTGACTACGACGGCAGCGGCTCCGTGTCCCTGGCTGAGTGGCTCCGGGCCGGGGCCACCACAGTGCCACTGCTGGTGCTGCTGGGCGTGGACATGGTGAGTCGACAGGCTGAGGAGCTGGGTGAGGGGCCGCACGGCTGTGCTCGCCAGCTCGGCCTTAAAGGTGCCGCACTCCCTGGCAAGTGTTCTGCTCTCCCAGACCCTGAAGGACAATGGCCAGCACATGTGGAGACCCCGAAGGTTCCCCCGCCCCGTCTACTGCAACCTGTGCGAGTCGAGCATCGGCCTTGGCAAACAGGGGCTGTGCTGTAACAGTGAGTGACCGGGCCGGGCTGGGCGAGCGGGGGGGCCGTCGGGTCTCCGGGCTGCAGCGCTCTCGGAACGCAGAGAGACACGGGCTTGCGTCCCGGGTTCTGCTGCAGACAAGTATGGGCCACGTAACTGTTGCTGATTTTGTCAACTGAAAATGCCCTAGCTGTGAGTGTGAACCCAGACGGTGCAAGGAGAGTGCTTTGCCGGGTGCTCGCAGCCATGTTACTCTAGTGCGCTCGCCTGGCAACATCGCTGTTCCAGCTGGGCCTCCTCCGTCACCGGGCAGCCCCTGGCACGCGGGTGGGGTGGGGGAGGCATGTGGTCTCCTGGGGAGAAAAGTGAGGACAGGGCGCAGGTCTTGGAGGCGAGCTCTCACCCCCAACTTTAACTTCCTACGTCACTCCCACGGCAACAGAGCGTGTTGTTTTGTTTTTAAAGATTTATTTCATGCACACAACAACTGGGGTGCAGGCCAAGGGTGGGGGGGTCTGTCTCTCCAGAGACAGAGTAGACAGCAGAACAGGGGGATGGACTGAATCACACAGCTGAGGGGAGCAGCGGGGCGGCAGGAGGGGTCTGCTGCGCCATGTGGGTCACTCCCAGGCCGGGGCTCGAACTCGTGCAGCAGCCGCGGCTGCGGGCAGCTTCCTAGTGCCGAGACTCAACCCCTGAGCCGCAGGGAGACGCAGGGTGCTTTGCTGTGTTTCAGCGCGCCCTGACCCTCCCTGGCCCTTAGCCTAGGAGGACCTGGGGGAGGGGCCGCTGTGAGGCTTGACCTTCTGCCCCCAGTCTGTAAGTACGTCGTCCACGACCAGTGCGCCATGAAGGCCTCGCCCTGTGAAGTCAGCACCTACGCCAAATCTCGGAAGGACATTGGTGTGAGTGGCCGCAGCAGCTTGCCCACCCTGGCCCTGGCCTTCAGCGCCCCGCCGCCCTCCCCACTAGTCAGACCCTCTCAGACGACAGACTGCGTCTCTCCTCAAGGTGCAATCCCACGTGTGGGTGCGCGGGGGCTGCGAGTCGGGGCGCTGCGACCGCTGTCAGAAGAAGATCCGGATCTACCACAGCCTGGCCGGGCTGCACTGCGTGTGGTGCCACCTGGAGGTGAGGCGCGGAACTGCCCCTGCGCCGTGGGGGCGTCCGGGGCCGGCCGCCCGCCGCCCCGCCCGGGGCGCGCCTTCAGCCGCGGCGCGCCCAGCCCCCAGGACTTTGTTTCGGGGCCAGAACCCCAAGTTGGGGGAGCCCTCGGTGAGCGCTGGGCCCTCTGTGTCTCAGATCCACGACGACTGCCTCCCCGCCATGGGCCACGAGTGTGACTGCGGGCTGCTGCGGGACCACATCCTACCGCCGTCCTCCATCTTCCCCAGTGTTCTGGTGAGGCCTCAGCGTGTGTGGGGGGCCAGGGCCCCCCGACTGAAACACACGCACGCAATGCCACGTATTTATATATATATATATATAATACAGTCGTTTGTTTTGACATCGTTTTGTGCATTTTTTTTTCATCTCAATTGTAATCCCGTGGCAATGCCACTTATTTTTAACTTTAAAAAATATTTATTTATGGGGGCGGGGAGTGCACTGGACTGTGGTGATGGCACACGGGTGACAGCTGAGATGGAAAAAGGCACAAAATGATGTAAAAGTAAACTATTATATTATTTTAAAAAGGAAAAAATATTTATTTATTTATGCACACAAGAACTGGGGTGCCGGCCAGAGGTGGGGGTGAGAGGATTCCCCAGAGACAGTGGGGAGCAGAGCAGGCAGATCCGCTGAAACACACTGCTGAGGGGAGCAGCGGGGAGACAGGAGAGGTCTGCTGCGCCCTGGGGGGGTCCCTCCCTGGCCGGGGATCGAACTGGTGCTGCAGCAGCTGCAAAGAGCTTCTAGAGCTGAGATTTAACCCCTGCACCACCAGGAGGCCCCAAAATGCCATGTAGAACAGAAAGCTTGCACTTCCAGGGATCCCAGAGACACTCATCAGTTTGGGGATTTACGCACAATCCAGTTTCCCTTCCCGCTGTTTTCTTCCCGCCTAGGCCTCTGGACAGGACTGGAAAAGTAACAAAGCAGGCCACAAGGCCGTGGATGACTTCAGCTTGAGCACCTTTGAGGCTATGCGGGTACAGGCCTCAGGCTTCATGGTGGGATGGAGCCCTGGTGGGAGAGGGTGGCGTGGGGTCCTGGGGACGGTGCCTGCTGTCCAGAAACACCCCCTTCTCTCTCTTCCACCCCCTTCGGAGAGGGAGAAGGCGTGGTGGAGGAATGCCGGTATCTGCCTTGTCTCTGGGGGTCAGCTTGCCGCTGATGAAATCCTGCTTTTCTCTCCCTTGTTTTTCCCCCAATGCAGATTGACCCTGTTTCTAATACCCACCCACTTCTGGTGTTCATCAACCCTAAGAGTGGCGGGAAGCAGGGCCAGAGGTGAGGAGATACGCTGGGGCTGTGCGTGTGAAGGGGTCTGCCCTGAGGGGGACCCCCGGAGGCCGGGTGCTGGCATTCATCCCCTGCCACAAGTTTCCCTTGTTCCCTCACACAGGGTGCTTTGGAAATTCCAGTACCTACTAAACCCCCGACAGGTATTCAACCTGGTGAAGGACGGTCCCGAGGCAGGGTGAGTGCGGGTCAGTGCGTGCCATTGTGTGTGTGCCTGTCTGGGTATGTTAGAAAAGGGCACATGGGGGGGGCTGGGGTACCCCAAGGAGTCAGGGTTCAGAATTCTGCTTTTCCTGGGGTAGTCAGGTACCTCTGCCATGAAGTCTCTGCCTCATCTTTTTTTCTTTTTTTTTTTTTTAAAAGATTTATTTATTTATACAAGAACCGGGCACAGGCCAGAGGTGTGGGGGCAGGTGAGAGGACGCCCCAGAGACAGAGTGGGGAGCAGAACAGGCAGGAGTGAAACGCACTGCTGAGGGGAGCAGCGGGGAGACAGGAGAGGGCTGCTGCGCCCTGGGGGTCACTCCCTGGCTGGGGATCGAACTGCTGCAGTGGCTGTGATGGCTTCATAGTGCTGCGCTTTAACCCGTTCGCCACCAGGGAGGGCCTCTGCCTCGTCTTTTCACTAACCTGGAAGGAGCCAGGTGCCCGGGTGCGTCTCTCTTGCTGTGGAGGAATGGCTGTACCTCTCCCGCTGCACTTTGTCTCTGCTTTTAGCAGACCGTTTGACAAAGGGGAAGGGGCTCAAGAAGAACGGGGGACAAGAAGCAGTGTGCCTGTCTCGGGGCTGGGCAGCCTCCGTACGGGTCTCCTTCCTCAGCTTGTCTCGCCGTTTGTCTCAGGCTCAGATTCTTCCGAGACATTCCTGATTACCGGATTTTGGTGTGTGGCGGAGATGGCACTGTAGGCTGGATTCTTGAAACTATGGGTCAGTGCAGGGAGAAGGGTCTGGGCTGGCCCTGGGTCAGTGCCTTCCAGAGCCAACCCCTCTCGTCTCCTGCTCCCTCCAGACAAAGCCAACTTGCCTTTTTTGCCTCCGGTCGCTGTGCTGCCCCTGGGCACAGGAAATGATCTGGCTCGCTGCCTGAGATGGGGAGGAGGTAAGTGGGCAGAAATGGTGTTCCTGGGGCATGTGGAGGGGAAACAGAGAAGGAAGAATCTAGGCATCTGCTCTAGAAAGAAGACTGGGGGCAAAGAGGGGCTTTGGAAGAAGCAAGCACCAGCATCTGAACCTAGAGGTATCAAGGGTGACTGTCCTCTTCTCTGTAGACAGGTATTCTTGTGTTTCTCCTAACAACAGTTAGGGCTCAGAGAATCAAGGAACACAGGGGAAGGAAGGAGGAGGCTGTACAAACAGGGGAGGTTATGTAAGAGCTAATCCAAATGCTGAGTGATGGCGCTAGCAGGGAGGTTGGCTGCGATTCATTCATTCATTCATTCTGCGGCTTCATCAGGAGGCATTCAGTCAGTCGGTCATTCATTCATTCATTCATTCAGTCAGTCGGTCATTCAGTCATTCAGTGAGTCATTCATTCCTTCATTCATTCAGTCAGTCAGTCGGTCATTCAGTCATTCAGTGAGGCATTCATTCCTTCATTCGGTCAGTCAGTCAGTCAGTCATTCGGTCATTCATTCATTCATTCATTCAATCAGTCAGTCAGTCAGTCAGTCAGTCAGTCAGTCAGTCAGTCATCGCATCAGCCCACTCATGGCATCAGCCTCCTCCTACACTCCCATTTCTAGAGTCTTTCTCCTTTCAAAGAGAAAGAGTTTAACAGGGGAGCAGACGGGAGACAGGAGAGGTCTGCTGCGCCCCTTAGGTCCCTCCCTGGGGGGATGGAACCCCTCTGCAGCGGCTGAGACAGCCCCACAGCTGCGCTGGAACCCCTTGGCCAGCAGGGGGCCCAGCATTTTGCGCTTCCAGGCTGTTGTCCCCATCCTCCAGATGAGCCCCCGGAAGCATGATGTGGATAGAAGGGTCAGCAGGGCCCACTCTGCCTTGGGGCTGGTTCCCGGAAGCCGGGAGCACCCCACCCTTGCGCTAACTGGAGCTGGGAAGGTCTGCAGGGCCAGGCGCGCCCCCCTCCCAAAGCGAGCGGCCTGCGCTGAGAGCCCTGGAACAGGGTGCTCAGTGGCAACTTGCCTTCCCCTCCCCAGGGTATGATGGACAGAACTTGGGGAAGATCCTCAAGGATTTAGAGCTGAGTAGGGTAGTACCTATGGATCGCTGGTCTGTGGAGGTGATACCGCAACAAACTGAAGAGAAGAGCGACCCGGTCCCGTTCCATATCATCAATAACTACTTCTCCATCGGTGTGGTCAGTGAGCGGGCCCGGGTGAAGGGAGGATCTGAGGGTGCCGCAGGCGGGGCAGAGAGAAGGGCAGGTGGAGGTTAAGGGAACAGTGGCGCAGGGAAACTGGGGGCGGGGTCCGGAGGCACACCCACAACGCGGGACAGAACTGCCCCCAAGCTGGGGGGCTGCATTCTGTGCCGAGAAGGGACCGGGACTCTGCTCTCACCTGCCCCGACCTCCCCAGGACGCCTCGATTGCTCACCGATTCCACATCATGCGGGAGAAATACCCCGAGAAGTTCAACAGCAGGTGAGGAAAGGGGAGGGGCAGGGGTCTGGCGGCCATGGAGTCCCACGCCCCCTCACGTGGGCACTGGCACCCCCAAGAAACCCCTCAACCGAAGCCGCCCGCTGCGGGTGAGCCTGCAGTCTGGGGTCCCCGCCCCGCTGGCCCGCCCACCGGCCCCTGTGTAACGCGCCCTCCCGCTGGGCTTTGTGTGGGGCTGACAGAATGAAGAACAAGCTGTGGTACTTCGAGTTCGCCACCTCTGAATCCATCTTCTCAACGTGCAAAAAGCTGGAGGAGGCTGTGACCGTTGAGGTGCGTGTCCGAGTCCCAGCCCACGTCCCGTCAGCTTCCTGCAGATGCATCAGGGGCTTCCAAGGCCCCATCTGGGAGCTCTTCCCGTACCCCATGTTCAGGAGCGTGAACCCCATCCTGACTTTGCCATTCTCAAGCTACCGTGTCCCCGTTTGCCTCCATCCCTTGCAAACCCCAGCAAGATGGGGGTTTCCCAGTCTCACCTGGGGGCGGGGTGTGCCCACACCGTGCCACCAGGTGAAGGTCAGGCCTCTCCCCTTCAGATCTGCGGAAAACCGCTGGATTTAAGCAACTTGTCCCTAGAAGGCATTGCAGTGCTAAACATCCCTAGCATGCACGGAGGCTCCAACCTCTGGGGTGACACCAAGAAACCTCAAGGGGATATACATGGGATCAACCAGGCCCTGGGCGCTACCGCCAAAGTCATCACCGACCCCGACATCCTGAAAACCTGTGTACAGGGTGAGAGGAGCGGCCTTGGGAGCCGGCTGGGCGGGGCACACGGGAAGTGAGCGTCCCTGGGCGCTGTGCTTCTTGCAACCTGTCTTCCTGCTTCCTCCCCGCAGACCTAAGCGACAAACGGCTGGAGGTGGTGGGGCTGGAAGGCGCACTCGAGATGGGCCAGATCTACACCAAGCTCAAGAGCGCTGGACATCGGTTGGCCAAGTGCTCTGAGATCACTTTCCAGTAAGCAAAACCCGGAGCAGGACAGCGGGGCTGTACTAGACCTTCCTCCGGGACAGGAGCTCAGAGCCCACTTCAGAAATTGTTTGTGTCTTAAAGATTTATTAATCTGTACACACAAGAACTGGGGTGCAGGCCAGAGGTGTGGGGGTGAGAGGATGCACCAGAGACAACAGTGGGGAGCAGAATAGGTAGACTGACTAAAACCCACTGCTGAGGGGAGCAGCGGGGAGACATGAGAGGTCTGCTGCGCCCTGGGGGTCACTCCCTGGCGGGGAATCGAACTCATGGTCAGTGGCCAAGGCAGCTTCCTCATGCTGCGCTGTAACCCGTTGGGCCGCCAGGGGGCGCCTCGGCACCAGCTGTCTTGGGCGGGTAGTGAGCTCTGCTTGTCTCCTTGGCCTCCTGCAGCACCACAAAGACCCTCCCCATGCAGATCGACGGGGAGCCCTGGATGCAGACGCCCTGCACAGTAAGTGCCCAGCCACCCGGCCCTGGGTCCCCCCACCCCCTTCAGCTCCGGCCCTGCATTTCCATTCCCAGCCGTTCTCCCTGAGCCTGAAGGTCCTCTGTGTGCCATTCCTCCCACATTCTTTTTTTTTCTTTTGAAGATTGATTTATGCATCCAAGAACTGGGGTACGGGCCAGAGATGCCAGGGGAGGGGGTGAGAGGATTCTCCAGAAACAGAATGGGGAGTAGAATAGGCGGGTTGGCTGAAATGTGCTTCTGAGGGGAGCAGCGGGGAGACAGGAGGGGTCTGCTGCGCCCTGGGGGTCCCTCCCTGGCCGGGATGGGGCTCACTTCAGTGGCTGGGACAGCTTCATAGTGCTGCGCTTAATCCCTTGTGCCACCAGGGAGGGCCCTCCTTCCAAATTCTGATTTCTCAATGCCCAGCCTTTCAAGAACCCTGGCAACCCACTAGGGACCCCACAGATTTCCCCTAAAATCCCCGCTGCCATAGCCCCAGGGCACCAGGTCCTGCTTCTGAACGCGCCCCTTCCCTTCCAGATCAAGATCACCCACCGGAACCAGATGCCCATGCTCATGGGCCCCCCGCCTCGCTCCTCCAATTTCTTTGGCTTCTTATACTGACGGGACCACCCTTCGCCTCCAGGCCGGCCTCGAACCCACCTCTTCATCCTGGTCCTGGGACTGTACCCCCCTGGGCTCTGTACATTGCCGCCGCCCTCCTACCAGCCAGGGGAGCACCCTCCACCCTCGCAGTATTTATTACGTTCACCACCTCCACTGTCCCCACTCACACTCACACACACACACACACACCACACACCACACACATACATTGAAAGTGCCTCATCTAAATAAAATGACTTTTTCCCCCACTGGGAGATCTGTTAAGTAAGTCGTTCGCCTCCTTCCTTCACACTCGGTTCCTTAAGTGACAGATGCTCTCAGGAGCAAGGAAAAACTGCACCAGGTTTCCCGTATTTATTTCAGGGATCCGCAGGTCAGGCGGTGAACCCCGGTGAAATCGCAGCCTCTCGGGGGAGTGGTCAGGCCTGCTGCGCACTGAGGAGCGGGCTGCTCTCCCCGGTGGGGCGAGAATGGAAGGTCTGCAGCAGACGCAGCCAGTGGGGGCTGCAGGGTGGCAGCCGGGGAAGGGGGGCAGCTGAGCTCCGCCTCGTAAGCCTGCGCCTGTGTTGGGAGGGAGGAGGCCGCTTAGCCGCGGACACGGGCAGCCCGCGGACGCTTCTCCAGAGCCCCGCCGGGCTCCAGGTTCACTTGGCCTTCACCCCAGTTCACTGCCCTGCTCGCGCCCGCGTCCGGGTCACCCTCTTATCTCGGGCTCTTCCCCTCTCACCCTGTGATCGCCCCTGCTGAGGACGTGTGGCATCCAGGCCTGAGCTCAGTTCAGCCAACCTCTGCTCTCTGCTCTCGCTGCTATCAACAGCGACAGTCAACACCACCCTGCTACTGCAGCTCGCTGCCCAGCCAGGGGCTGCACCGGCACTGCCACCCAGCAGCCCGGCAGCCCCGCAGGGCAGAGTCGGTTTCCCTCCCGCCCAGGGACGCGGCAAGCTTCGGCTGCTTCCTCAAGGCCCCTAGCCGGACGTCAGCCCGGCCTGTCTAACTTCCAAATCTGGGCTCTCCCTTGAGGAGCTAGTGGTGGTCCGAGGAGTACGGGGGGTCTGTGCTGGGCGGTGCACTCACCTGTAGATCAGCGCCGCCAGCCCCAGCGCCGCCAACACCAGCAAGATGCCTGTGAGCAGAGGGCCCTGCGTCGTGCCTGCTTCCTGCCCTGTGAGCAGAGCCCCAGGTATCAGTCGGTGGCTGCTCCCGCCAGGTGGCCTCTGCCCACTCCTCATCCCAGCGCTCGCTCCAGTACCTACCAGGCACCACAAGCTGGGTGCTGACCATCGCCAGACTGTTGGCATCAGCCAGAGACACATTGAGGCAGTAGACCCCTGAGCCGCCCTTCAGTTCCTGGTGCAAGACCAGCTGGCAGGCTGGACTGGGGGGCACGGACTGACAGAGCCGCTGAGCAGGGGGCTGGCATCCTGGGGCTGAGATATCCATGCAGGCTTCCTTGGGCAACCTGGGAGGGGTGGCAGCCTGGTCAGGGGTCAGGGAGGAACAGCAGGCCCCAGCGGCAGGGCAGCAGTCAGGCCCAGACTGCTCAGGACAAGGGGGGACACTGACCCGCCTTGGCAGGACACAGTCAGCTCAAACGCATCCCCTTCGCCGGAAGGCACGGCCTGCAGGACCTCAGCGTTCTCGATGCCCTCTGCAAAGTTGCAGCGTTTTACGCTGGGTTTTTCTCCCAAGCCCACGACAGCCCCAGGCCTGCTTCCTCGGGGCCATCCTTCTGCCTTTAGGCGGAAACCCTGGCAGGTGAGTCACGCCTCCCGGCCACGCTCACGCTGCCGAGCCCCAGACGGAGCCCACTCCCACCACCACACGCCGAGGTAGGCCAGACTCACGGACGATGTCCAGGGCGAGGGAAAAGGAGCCATAGCGATACAGAACACAGTCCAGCGGGACTTGTCTCTTCACCAGAACTAAAGCATCACCCAGCAGGGCGCTCTGGGAGCCTGGCAGGAGAGACCGAAGAGGTGACTACCAGAGAAGTGGCTCACCCCGGAAGGCTGAGGGGGCATCTTTCCAGGTAGAGCCAGAGGGCCGAGGTCTGAGCTCGGAATCAGACAGGGCCTGGGAAACCACCTTTACAGAAAAGGAAACTGAGGCCCAGCAGGATTTTTTTTTTATATAAGATCTATCTATTTCTGCATACAGAACTGGGGAGGGCACAGGCCGGAGGTGCAGGTGACGAGAGGCTTCACCAGAGGCAGTGGGGAGCAGAGTAGGCAGACTGACAAAGTGCACTGCTGAGGGGAGCAGTGGGGAGACAGGAGAGGACTGCCGCGCCCGGTGGGGCCCTCCCTGGCCGGGGATCGAACCTGTACTGAAGCGGCTACAGGCAGCTTTGTGTGCTTTAACCCGCCGCGCCACCAGGGAGGGCCCCTTAGGGGAGCTTTGAAAAATCCCAGATGTTTATCGCACCCTACGCCGTGCCAGGCCCTGGAGCGGACACCCGACAAATGTCACCTGAACTCCCAGCGAGCTCGTTCCTCGTCCTCCCATGTTCCTAGCTTTCTGCCAGGCCCACCTGCCGCGGGATGGGAATCCAAGAATCGCGAATGATTTCATATGTTTGCACCGGACAGCGAGGATGGAGGCGTCATGTAGGAGAGCACCCTCTTCAGTCCTTCGCGTCAGGGAACACTCTCCGCAGAGTGGAAGAGCAAGCCGCTCCACCCGTGACCCGGGGAGACGTGGCCTCCGAACGCCAGCTCTTTTCCGCGCGGGGAGCACAGGGACGCCGGTGCTAAGCTAAGATGGATCTGGGACTTGGGGCCATCAGCTCTTCACCAACAACGCCCACCTCAGTGAAACCCATTCGCACCGGTCCCCTTACCTGTCACCCCCTCGGTGGGCATGGGTGGGCTGACATCCGGACCCTCCGTTTCGGGGGTGCGTGTCTCACCAGCTGTGGTCTCCCCCAGCTCCGTAGATGTTACCTGCGCAACTGCAGTCCCAGGAGGCTCTGCCGTTGGCACTTCAGGTGTTGTGCCTATGGGCTCTGCAGTTGGCATCTCTGCGCGGGTGGTCCCTGTGCCCTCTGAGGTTGGCATCTGCGCAGGCGTAGTGCCTCTGCCCTCTGTAGTGGGCACCCGAACAGAGGCAGTGCCTGGGACCTCTGTGGCTGGAACCTGTGAAGCTGTGGTTCCAGAGGGTTCTGCAGTTGAGACTTGACCAGGTGTAGTACCTGCAACTTCAGCAGTAGACTCCTGCCCAGCGCTGGTGCCAGGGGCCTCTGCGGTTGACACACGGCCGTCGGTGGTGCCTGGGACAGGAGAGGAGCCGCAGGACGTGAGAGGAATGGCAGCCTGCAGGACCACCTGGGCCGTGGCGGGGCCAGACTCTAGGTAGGTGTGAGTGACCGTGAGTGCCCGAGAGATCAGGGTCCCGGTCCTGTCTCCAAAGTCCCAGGTGAAGGAGATGTCAGCACCAGCCAAATAGCCGCTCGGATCATGCAGCTGGAGGGCAAAGGTCACAGGCTGGTTCCTCAGGAAGCGCTTGGTCCCTGCGCTCAAGGCTTGCAGCTGGGAAACGTTCACGGAGAAGGGCACCTGGTCTGGGGGTGAAGCCAGAAAAGGTGGGGGTCGGGCTGAAGCCACAGCTTCTCCTTCACAGCCACACCCTCCACCCCACGGGGACTGCTCTGCCCTGGCGCCAAACCTCATGTTCCTCCGCCTGGTCTCCCCGCTTCTGCCCTCTTAAGATTGCGCCATGTCATTGTGCTTTCAGGGCTTCTCCTTGGCACCAGCCCAGCGCGCCCTAGGCCCGGCCTGGCCGGTCCTGACATCCTTACCAGTGACGGTGAAGACCGAGCGGGTGTGGGCCAGGGGCACGTAGCTCTGGGGCCCCCGGTGGTGGTAGACAGTCACTTCCATGCTGTGTGAGCCCAGCTGGGCTGTGCCCGTCCCAATGCTTAGCCCGGACACTGGGCCGCCCAGAACTTGCCAGTATTGGCCTGAGGTTTTCAGAAAGAGAAGCGGGGCGGGGAGGGGTTGGTGGTCGGAGGGGATGGCGCAGCTGGAAAGTCAGCAGGTGCGCTGAGGGTGGGCTTCAAGTTATGTAGAAGCTGTACCACTGGGGGCATGGCAGGACGCCCAGGGTGGACCCCAGGGCGGGGACTGTGCTTCGGACAGGGTTCCCAGAAAGAACAGTAACAGAGGCAGAGGTAAGATGCCCGGAAAGGAACTATGGGGGGAAGGAAGACTAGGGCCTGTCACCAACTATAAGGGGTGGGACCAGAAAGAAGGGGCTTCAGGGGGCAGCAAGTGACTCCAAGAAAGGGTGACAGACCGGAGAAGGGAGTCCCTCACCCCAAGTCTTCCAGACATAAACAAAGCGTCTTCTCTGAGACCAAGGGCCAGAGGGGCAGGCTTCCCCATCAGGGAAGAGGCAGGTGTCATTGGCTTCCTGGGGATACACCGGCTGTCCTCCCCACACCTGACTCCCTGGAATGAGACAGAGTCGCCATTAAACCCTGGCATGCCTTTCGTTTTCGTTTTTTCTTTTTAATAGACTTTTGGTCAGAGGTGCAGGGTGAGAGGATTCACCGGAGACAGAGTGGGGAGCAGAACGGGCAGATCGACGAAGTACACTGCTGAGGGGAGCAGCGGGCGGGCCAGGAGAGGTCTGCTGTACCCTGTGGGTCCCTCCCTCGCCAGGGATCGAATTCTTGCTGCAGTGCTGAGACCTCCCCCCCTTGCACCACGAGGGACGAGGGAGGGCCCTTACATGGATCTTTCAATACCTCCGTGGGTATTGTTCCCTTTCCACAAACAAGGGGATGGATGCACAGAATGATCAAGTAACTTGCCAGGGTCACATACTAGCAACAGGTTTAAAAACGAGTCTGTCCTGGCTCTGGTTGTATGGGATTCTGCTGTCCCCAAACGGGGACGACATGTTCTATTTCTTTTTGCTTTAATTGTGTTTTCTAATTTTCAACAATGAATACGTATTATGTATATATTTAAGGAGGAAAAAAAAACAGTTGGGGGTGGGGAAGGCGGCCTCCTGAACCACTGCAGTTGCCAGGGAACCTGAGCCCTGGTGATGAGGCCCCAGCATGAGGTTACTCACCATTGACAATGGTGTCGCTGGCCCAAATGACCTGCCCATCGGGCAGCACCCTTTGGCTTTCAGGGAAGCTCAGGACAATGGAGAAGGAGGTGGTTGCTCCGACCAGCGTAGGCCCGTCATTCCTGACCTGCAGGGACACCTGGCCTCCTGGAAGGGGCAGCCGCATTAGCCGGGACTCCTGGTTCCCCTCCCTAGGAACCTTTCCCCCCCTCTCTTCCCGAGCTATACCCAGCCTGGTTCTTGCTCCTCGCCCCACCCCATTCCTAGCACGTCCCCACAAAAGGGCAAAGTTGCCACCTCTCCAGCAGTCAGGTCCCTGGTTTTCTGTCCACTCAGGGTACAGCTGCCTGTTCCAGGTTCTAGTTCTGAGCTGCCTCGAGACACCAAGCCAGCCATGGTCTCTGGATCCTGGAAGGAAAAATGCATAAGGGAGGGTCCTCCAGGCTCCTCGATTTAGTCCCTCCATAGGGGATACCACGCTGCCCCACTCATTTTCATTCCGAGAGCCTGCTATTTACCAGGCACGATGCTAGACACAAGGATGTCAGAGTGAATAAAATATGATCCAAGGGAATTCCAGCTTAGGAAACAGACATGTAGTCAAAGTCCTGTTTAATACAAGCGAGGAGAGATAGGCCTGAAGTACAGCACAATGACAGCTACACACTGGTGTTACTTGAGCGTGTTGGGAAAGTCCTCCGTGTGGATTTGGCCTGGGGGAGAACATACTCGGGGGGGCCCAGCATGAGCATGGGGTGTGTGGAGATGTGTGGAGACTAGGAAACACGTGGTATGACGGGATGACCAGCAAAGTGGTGAATGCAGACTGGGTGGCAAGGCCAGGCTGGGCTGGAGATTTCCAGAGCCTGGCAAAGGCACTGATTTTTACCCTATAAGCAGAGGCACCTCAGAAGATTTTGTTTTACTGAGTTAAAATTCACATGCCATAAATTCACCCTTCAGGGCCCTCCCTGGTGGTGTAACAGGTTAAAGTGCAGCGCTTTGAAGCTAAGCTGCAGCCGCTTCGGCACGAGTTTGAGTAAGATCCCCGGCCAGGGAGTGACCCACAGGGCTTGGCAGACCGCTCCTGTCTCCCCGCTGCTCCCCTCAGCAGTGTGTTTTAGTAGAATCTGCCTGTTCTGCTCCCCACTCTGTCTCTGGTAAATCCTCTCATCGAGTCCTCTCGCTGCCCCTGCACCTCTGGCCTGCACCCTAGTTCTGTATGTATAACTAAATAAATCTTTTTTAGAAAAAAACTGGCCGTGAACAAGGTCTGTAAAAAAGTTTCTGTTTGTGCTCACTCAGATCCAACAACTATCAACATTTTGCCACATTTGCTTTATCTATTCTTTGTTGTCTGTTTTTTGGCTAAAGCATTTAAAAGCAAATTCCAGATATCTTACTGTCTTAATCCCACAAATTCATTGTATCTGTAAAAAAAAAAAGAAATTTTCTTGAATAAGGACACTATTATTTCACACTAGAAAAAGTAAACCCAGTCCACGTGAAATTTCATGAATGTCTTAAGATTTTTAAATGCAGGATCCCAAAAAGTAAGCACAATCTTTAAGGCGCCTCAGGCGGACCAAAATGCAGAGTGTCCAGAATACATTAAGGAACCAAAAAACAAACACTGAAATTGCTGCACTCATGAGGAAATTCAGATGAGGCACTTGCTAGAAGTCTGAGACCAGGGACCTTGGGAGAGAGCAGGGGACCTGGTAGAGGATGTGTAAGTTTCAGCACAGCAGAAAGTCTTCGCTCCATGTCCAATGTACACTGGAAACCTAGTTGATTCTGCAGGGTAGAATCTGGATCATGAATTGAGCATCTCACCACTGAAGATGGAGAATCATGAGATGCCCCATTCTTTCCCCACTCCCAGCCCCCTCAGAGAAGCACGGGACATCGTCCCTACCCCCAGCCCTCACTCCTATCACGAGGCCCCAATCCCCCAGAGCCCTTTCATGTGATGCTCAGCTGAGACCCCTCTGTCTGGGGCTTCCAGTTCCAGAACAAAGACCAGGCTGCGTTAAGGGTCCCTTTCCCAGGGAAGGTAGGTGATACCTCCTTGACCTTCCTATTTACTTCCACCCTCTCTTACTTCCCACTTTAAACACCCTATCCCCAGTGTCTGAGACATTGTCTTAAAAGAGTCCCCCATTCATTTCACCCTCAGAGTCCCTACTCCAGTTCACTGCCCCCCTGGGGTGGGGTGGTGGGTGTGGGCATCAGAATTACAACCACAAAGACCCATCATCCATCCCCTTCCAGGCGATAAGATTATTTTCAGTTTCAATGCCAAATCTCTATGTGGCAGGTGAGCTCAGATGCCCCCATCCTTAATAAAACAAACGGGTGAGAGAAAGCTGAAGTATTGCTGGTATCTCCCATCAGGAGGGGGGAAACTGGAGTAGGCGTTCACCCCAAATTCTGTGTCCACGTCCACACACACCACACTCACCTTCTGCAGCCCCCAGAGCCAGAAGAGCACCCATCACAGATACATGCAGAAAGCATTTTCTCAGCACCAGATCCATCCTGCTCTCCCCTTCAGCTACCAAAGGCCCTGAGGGGGGGCGCTGGGACAAGCCCCTATATAAGAAAGGGGTGCTTATTTGCATAACCCTTCCCCCTCTCCTCTTGCCAGGCCTGGGAGGAGCAGGAGGGCTTGAGAGAGGCAGAGCTGCCAAGCTGGACGCCCAGCTACCCAATGACAGTTTCCGATTTCACAGGGTCACGATCCTCTTGCTACACTCCACCTACCCCCGCCCCCCCGGGAGCGGACGGAGTGAAAGGAAGCACCCCACCACCCCACGCGTACCAGACACAACTCATCATGGGAGAGGAAATGAATTAGTTCTTTGAGTCAGGGCAGCAGCCTCTCAAAAAGAAACAGAACCTCCGCAACCAGAACAGAGAGGCGGTATCGGGCAGGCTGAGGGCGGGGAGGCCACGACGCCCCGCGGCTTTGGGGGGCCCTCGCAGCGACGCCCCGCCTCCTGCCTTCCAGAGAGGCTCCCGAGCCAGTGTGAGTGAATCCTGGGTACACACTTCCCCTAGGGGTGCTGAATTCGCCTAGTGAGAGACCAGGACCCCCTACGGACGTCGGCCGCGGGCGGGAAGCCCGGGCCGAGGCAGGTAGCTGGAAAGGTGTCGCCTCGCGCGTCCGAAGTTCCCAGACCCCGCCTTGCGCGGGGCGGGGCCCCGGCGGCGAGGGCCGCTCGCCGCGCCCCGTCTGCGCTGACGTTGACCAATAGGAAGGCCCGGGGGCGGGGCCAGGGAAACGCGGGAAGGAGGGGCGGGGCTTCGGGCGGCGGCCGGGAACTGGGGGGGAGGCGGCAACATTGTTTCAAGTTGGACAAATTGACAAGAGCGAGGGAGACACCGCGTTCCATCGCGACCGGGGCCGCCTGCCGGGCCTTGTTTCCCCCCGGCCCCGACGGCCGGGCCCGCTTCCTGCAGGGTTCCCGGCTCCCGCTCCAGGGCTGGGCTGACCCGACGCTCCAGCGCTTCATGGAGAACTTCCAAAAAGTGGAAAAGATCGGGGAGGGCACGTACGGAGTTGTGTATAAAGCCAAAAACAAGGTGACGGGAGAAGTGGTGGCGCTTAAAAAAATCCGCCTGGACACGTGAGTGACCTGAGCCCCCGGGACGCGGAGCTGGGAGGTTAAGGTGCCCCCACCCCCACCCAACAGGCGGGTAGCCGTCGCGGGGCCGGAAGGTGACGGGGTGGATTTCTTTTGAAGTGGAAAGGTGGCTTGGAGGTCAGTGGAGGGTCTCCCCGTGGCAAGTGTAGGGCAGTGTAAAATCCGTGGAAAACTTCTTCCGAAACGCGGTGATGTCCCCAAAAGTGCAGTCAGAGAGACCCAGGAAGAGGTAGGAGGCCTCTGAGGTGCGATCCAGGACTCCCTGCGGAGCGGGGTTTTGGGGGGCCTGGTAAAGACCAGCTTTCTGCATGAGGAGCCCCCCTCGCTGCCCCAACCCCACCCTCACCTTAGAATTCTCTCCGTCTTTCAAAAGAGTGGCAGTTGAACCCACTGGCCCCTCTGGAGAGGCTGGGTGCTATGACTCCCTTTTTTTTTATTATTTTTATTTTTTTCCTATTATCTTGTCTCTGCTTCCCCCTCACCAGGAGGCTCTACTTACCTACGCCTGGGAAAGGAAATGGCCTCAAATTGTCCAAAAGTTACTCCCTGTCCACCCACGAATTAATTCCTACAGCAGCCCTTTTCTTCCCCCTCCCCTTTCCTAAAGGGGGCTGGGGGGTGTCTCCTGGCGGGGGAGGGGGAGAGGAGAATGCCTGGGCTGTGAGAAAAGGAATATTTGTAACCACATTCCCATTGCTTCCCAACCTCTCCAAGTGAGACTGAGGGTGTGCCCAGTACTGCCATCAGAGAGATCTCTCTGCTCAAGGAGCTCAACCACCCTAACATTGTCAAGTAAGTATGAGTCTGGGAGGTGATCTGATAATAGAGATGAGTTCTGTCTCTGATAATAAAGATGAGTTCTGTCTCTGTAGTCTGGGTATTTCTCTTCCTCACGTCCTTTCCTGTACCTCCTTTTTCTAGGCTGCTGGATGTCATTCACACAGAAAACAAGCTCTACCTGGTTTTTGAGTTTCTGCACCAAGATCTCAAGAAATTCATGGATGCCTCTGCTCTCACTGGCATTCCTCTTCCACTCATCAAGGTAATCCTTTGCTCAACTTCTGCCCAACATGGGTATGTCTAGGGGGACTGCAGGCGTGAGTGATGGTTTGTGTGATCTCGGCTTTTTCCCAGCCCACACCACTCTACACATACACCCCTTTTTTGTGCAGCTCTTTCACTACTCATTATACCTATTAACCCTAGGGCTGGGCAGGAGAATCAAAGAGGCTGAAACTCTAGTGAGTCAACTTAGCTCAGGTGGAAGGTCAGATGAAACTTAGATAATGGGACTTGAGGGCACTTGGTAGATACCTTCCAACAGCCATTTCTACATTTGGTGCGAGAAACAGGCAGTGAGTTTCTTGTCTGTTTTAGCGGTGGATTCTTTATTCCCAGGGCGACGTTCAAACTATTAACAAATGTTTTATTGAGTGTACATTTACTGTAGGCACAGGACACTAGAAAGAGATGCACAACAGACAAGCCCTGATGCTATCCTCAGCGGGCTGACAGTCCAGCGGGAGAAGTAGCCGGTACCACGGAATTAGAATCCAACATAGTGGCGGCTTTAGTGGCGTTTTGGAGGCACAGGGCGGCTCTCACTTGCTCATTGTGATGTCTTCTCTCTCTCATCAGAGCTATCTGTTCCAGCTGCTGCAAGGTCTAGCTTTCTGTCATTCCCATCGGGTCCTGCACCGAGACCTCAAACCTCAGAATTTGCTCATCAACGCAGAAGGGGCCATCAAGCTGGCGGACTTCGGACTAGCCCGAGCATTTGGAGTCCCTGTTCGTACTTATACCCATGAGGTACGTCCCTCTCTGCATTTCTTATACTTTTTTTTTTTTTTTTTTTTTTTTAAAGATTTATTTATTTTTTTGTACAGAGCTGGGGTACAGGCCAGAGATGCGGAGGGTGAGAGGATTCACCAGAGACAGAGCAGGGAGCAGAACAGGCAGATCGATGAAGTACACTGCTGAGGGGAGCAGCGGGCGGGTCAGCAGAGGTCTGCCACGCCATGTGGTCACCTCCCGGGCAGGCGGGGATCGAACTCATGCGGAAGTGGTTTTAGTTTCTCAGTGTAGTGCTTTAACCCACTGCGCCACCAGGGAGGGCCATTTCTTATACTTTTAAAGAAAAAATTAAAAGCAAAAACAAAATACCTGTCACCATCCCTTATACCTCCTCTACCCTTTCTCCCCTGCCCCTCATCTCTTGTAGCCTCAATTCAATCATCAGGGTCCACTAATTTATTTTTATTTTGTTTTGTCAGCTCATCTGCTTCGCTTCAGTATAGCTCCCATATATGTGAAAGCGTCCAACATTTCTCTTTATCTTACTGCCTTCCTTCACTTCATATAATCCCTAAAGACTTCCATTTTGCTAAGACGGCAGAATTTCTTCTTTCTTTGTAGCCGAATAGTATTCCATTGGGAATATAATACCAGGTCTTCTCTCTTCAATCAACTCTCACTGGCGCTTCTGTTGTTTCCCTCTTACTTAGCTACTGTAAATTATAGTCTTCTCCGCATTTTTTCTTTAAACTTCCTGGGGGTGTTAACAAGGACACTCACAGAGTTACTAAACATATCAGGTGAGTAATTTTTTGCTCAGAAGATGGAAAGTATCTCTGACACCACAAAAGATTTTAGAGTATAAAAGACCAAAAACAGAATCTTCCTGGTAGAGCAGAAGGTTAAGTGTCAGCACTATGAAGCTGTCTACATCCACTGTGGCACCAGCTCGATCCCCGGCCAGGGAGGGACCCACATGGTGCAGCAGACCTCTCCTGCCTCCCAGCTGCTCCCCTCAGCAGCATATTTCAGTAGGCCCGCCTGTTCTGCCCCCCACTCTGTCTCTAGGGAATCCTCTCAGCACCCCTCATACACACACACCTCTGGCCTGTACCCCAGCTCTTGTATGCATGAACAAAAAATTAAAATCTTTAAAAAACAAAACAAAAAGGTTTTGTTTTGTTTATGAACTCCCCAGAGTTCATACTGTGGAGCTAAGTTTGGCTAGACACCAAGAAAGGAGAGATGGACCACACACCATTAAAATTATAGACCGCTTGTGTCAAGTTTTCCAGGAAGGTCACAAACAGGGGACTCCTAAAACTTTGTCCCCAGAGCCATGGCACAGGCTAAGTCTGGACTGAAAGGTTGTGTTTCATCAACCCACTCCGAGGACATCAGAGGCGGAGGGAGCAGGTCGGGAAGGAAGCTCTTGCTAAGAGGCCCATGGGAGCAGTGAGAGTTGCTGAGATGAGACCCTTCTCCGCCCATGCACCAACACCAGCTGGCCCCTTCCGCCTCTTGTCCGCAGGTGGTGACCCTGTGGTACCGAGCACCCGAAATCCTCCTTGGCTGCAAATACTACTCCACAGCTGTGGACATCTGGAGCCTGGGCTGCATCTTTGCTGAGATGGTATGAGGCATGCTTGAGTGGCAGCAGCCGCTCTCCTCAGACGCAGAGCTACCTCCTGATCCAGACTCTCGGTGCTTCTGTAGTCACAGGGCTCTTTCTTTAGAGAGATGGTGGGGAAACGAGGGTCTGTCGCCCCTGATGTCAGCCGTATTTAGGCTAGCCTCACACAGCGTTAGCATCCAGTATGCGACTCCACCCCCAGTTGAGGTAAATCATTTCTGCAGCTGTTTTAGCTTGAGCTCTATACGTTTGGGAGAATGAGTTCCATTTAGTACCTCCGTTACCTGGCCTTGAGACCTCGTAAGAAGACAGGAGCGTGGCCAAGGCATCGTGTTCACCTTGCCCCCCATACCTTTTATTCCAACGGCACACTTAAATATGTCCCCCCTCAACCCCTGGCTTTTCAGATTGAAGGACCCCTGAGAACCCAGCCTTATATGGGCGCGCTCACCCCCTCAATACCACAACAGACTGGGCTGAGTTTTCAAACCACATCAATATTTTTTATGATCCTTTATTTGGGGTGTATCTGGGGGCTTGGAGGCCATTAGCATATATAGTGCATTTATCCCCCCAGTGCATTACCTTACAATTGCCCATATTCCTCTCTCAATTCATCAAAAAATATTTGTGAAGCACCTAGTGTGTACCGAGCACCATGGTAGGTGCTGTGGGGAACACAGAAGAGATGGAAGACACAGTCTCTGCCCGCTGTGCTCCTATCTAGAAGTGGCTGCATCACAAGGAGGGGGGATGACTGCAGTGTCGACCCCACACCCCGTGAGTGGTTTGGGATCCCTTTGCTACAGTCAGTGGCACCCCAGACATTCACCCCTCCCAGCCCCACCCAGCCTTGGGGATCTGCAAAGCCATGGTTGGGGGGCAAGAAGGCGGGGCAAGAAGGCGGCTGAAGGGACTTCATTGTCTCAGGCTCTGTGTGACTGCCCCCGTGAAGGCCCTGGGGGGTGTCACGGGGCCCTGTTGACCTTCCACTGCCTGTGGGAACCTCCGCTTTACAGGGCCAGCTTTGACTGACATCACCGTGGGTCTGGGCCTCTCCTCTTCCCCCTTGCAGGTGACCCGCCGGGCCCTGTTCCCTGGAGATTCTGAAATTGACCAACTCTTCCGCATCTTCCGTACTCTGGGAACCCCAGATGAGGCGGTGTGGCCAGGAGTTACTTCCATGCCTGATTATAAGCCGAGTTTCCCCAAGTGGGCACGCCAAGATTTTAGCAAAGTCGTGCCTCCCCTGGACGAAGATGGACGGAGCTTGTTATCGGTGAGAGGGGTGGTGGGCGCCCATTTTCTCGCATTCACTCTTCCAGGGCAGGACTTTTCCATGATGGGGGGGGCCCTGAACCCTGGGTCTCAGGGACTCCCTCGCCCGCTTCTCTTTCCTTGCTGGGACATGGTTCAGATAGAGGGAGGAGGGAAGTGAGAATGCTGCCATGGGGAAAGGATGCTGGATTCCTGATTCCTTGGCACACCTGCTCCCGTTCAGTCCACTGCCCTGTCACTGAAGTCAGCACACTTTTCTCCCCCCAGCAAATGCTGCACTACGACCCCAACAAGCGGATTTCGGCAAAGGCAGCTCTGGCTCACCCTTTCTTCCAGGATGTGACCAAGCCAGTACCCCACCTTCGACTCTGATGTCTGATGTCCTTCCCACCCTCTCCTCAGCGGGGGCCTGAGCTGGCTTGAGTCTGGGCTGTGTTCTCCAATCTTGTCTGGCTGCCTTAACACTCACCATTCCCTCCCAGCCAGACAACTCTGAGGATACAGGGGATGGAGGGGAGAAATAGGTGAAAATGAAAGGAAACTTCAGTATTAGATGCACTTAAGTCAGCCTCTGCCAACCCTGACTACCTCCTCTTAGTCATCACCGAAGAGGGCTGGTGTTTAAAAATAACACCAACAAAGATTGACCCCCCTCCCCACCCACAGCCCCGAAATTATTTCCTGTGTTTGGGATGATAGAGACCCAAGTCTCCTGCAGCCACTTGCTAGCAGGGGGCTAAATCTGGAACTTTTGAAACAAAGGGAAAGCAAACATGGGGGGAGGGGGGTCCTGGTTTAAGGAATTAGGTTAAAAGCCAGCTCCAGCCAGTTCATTCTCTGCTGTTAGTGGTTCGTCTCACCTGCCAGTCTGGAGACTTTGCGTCCCCGGTGAGGTTCCAGGCAAGATGATTGGGCTAGGAAGGCTTGTTGTTCCTGCAAGCGAGAGGTCTCTGGGAAGTGCTGGGGCAGAGCTGTGCTCTGCCGGGGCCTTAGGAGAGTGGTGGAAGTGACATGTTTGATTTTTTTTTTCCTGTTAAAAGTCTTAGTTCTTCTGGACAGAGCAGGGATTCCTGTTCCCATGGCCGTCTGAAGGCCATACCATAGCATTGGAAGTTAGGGTGTAGACATCATTTTGAGAGTGCTGACACTTTTTTAGGGTTGTGACTGATGGGGGTTATTGGGGAAAAAATATTTCCTTAAAAGAAGGATAAACAATTATATTTATATTTCAGGTTATAGTTGTTAAAGTTTAAGTGGGAGCCGCATTTGTGGCCATGTGCACCTCCAGGTTTTGTTATTCAAATGTTTTTTAAAAAGGAGTATTTTAACTCTTTGTATGCTTTTGTTTCTTCTCCCACTTTTTATCCTTTATTCTTGCTACTAACATTATTTGTAATCTAGTTTGTCATTCATTAAAATTGCTAATTTTATAGTTCATCTCTTTCCTTTTACTTTTGCATATTTATTCTTACTACAACAGTGCTGTGAGAGAATGTGAATGTATGGAGGTGATCTGGGTTCCAGACTCTCCCCCCTCCCCCTTTTCCTTCTTTCTGTGGGTGGATTCAGCTCATCACATTTTGGCCTCTGACGCAGTTGGGATAATGCTCAGGCTGTGCTAACCAGATACTACTGCCCCCATTTTACAGCTGGGGAAACCTAAGCCTGTGTTTCTTCCTCCACTTTTATTTTTTGTAATTATTTATTTATGCACAAGAGAGCTGGAGTACAGACCAGAGGTGCAGGGGTGAGAGGACTCCCCAGAGACAGAGTGGGAAGCAGAACTGGCAGACTGACTGAAATCACTGCTGAGGGAGTAGAGGGTGCTGCAGGAGAGTCCGCTGCACCCTGTGGGTCAGCTCCCTGGCCCGGGGTCGAACTTCGTGCTGCAGCAGCTGCGGAGAGCCTCCTAGTGCTGAGACCACCAGTGAGGGCCCTCCTCCTCCACTTTAGCACTGTCTCCCGAGGAGCGCAGTTCAGCATTTCAGTGGCAACTTACGGAGTAGCAATATGCACGAAGTGGGCTCCAAGGGACTCGCCTGGACACACTCTCGGCAAGCTCGCCACTGCTCCTCCTTGTTTCATAGCACCCACAGCAGCGTCATCTAAAGACACTTTATTAGTACTTGCATGACTGAGGCTATTCTCAGCCGAATACGAGAAATCACTATGAAGGAGCCGGCGCTCCTTAAGTGACCACTTCTTGGAGTTGCCATTGTCTCACCCCATGAAAACGCCCCAAGCTGCCCCGAGGCCACGCCACACACTCCAGCCCACGGAAGGCGCCGCACACCCGCGCGCGGGCTCACGTGGATTCCCAGGCTCCGGGTCCCTAGGAGAGAAGTTTGCCTTTACGCCCCCGAATTTACCCCAGAGGGCGGGTACTGGACGCGGCCCCCGCCAAACCCGGGGGGAGGGGCGAAGGTCAGCGGCGGCTCGCCTCGGCTTCCTTCAGCCCCGCCTCGCCTGCCATTCAAGTCAGCGATTTTGGCAGTACTGGCCACAGTTTCACTGGGACCCGCCTCTCTCACTCACCTGATTAGATGTTTATGAGTCAAAAGGCGGAGTCAAGAGGGTCTCGAGACTTTATTGGCTGCTACACACGCCTGTCAGTAGTGCACCGCCCCCTGCCTCGGGGCGCTCGCTCCTCAATGGCTCCTCGCCTCGTCCATCTTCAACGTTTCCCTCTTTATGTTGGTCCGGGGCCCCGCCTGTCCGGGCCCTGGCTCGCACTGGTTGGTGACAGCGCGAAAGGGACCCGCCTCCCTGCTGACGATTGGCGGGTCGGTGCGCGCAAGGCCCACCCCGGCGGTAGGCGGGTGATGGCGCCATTGGCTGGGGCCCGCGCCCAGGCGAGCGGGAGGAGGAGGGGCAGGCGGGTTTGGTTGAGCTGCAGCTGTTTGTCTGTTCGACACAGGCTTGGGCCGGACGGGGGAGACGGAGCCCCAGGTACCGGGCTGATGGAGCCCACAAGGGTAGGGGCGGAGGCGCCCGGGAGAGGAGCGCGGCCCGGCCTGGGAGCCGAGGCGGCCTGGGCCTCGGCCAGGGTTAGAGCGGCCCCGTGGAGCGGGGAGAAGGGGGCCGGGCCCCAGCAGGCCCGACGGGGGCGCTGAGGAGGGGGCCGGGCGGGCCGCG